GATAATAACACAGACTTCATAGTTTTGGTTGTTGTTTGTTTTTTTGTTTTGTTTTGTTTTGCTTTGTGAGGATTAAATGAGTTAGTATATGTAAAGCACTTAGAATACTGCTGGGCACGTAGTAGGTGCACAATAAAAGTTCTTCCTCTCCCCTCCCCTCTCTCCTTTCTCCTTTCTCTCTGGTCTTCATCCTCCTCCACTTCCTCCTTCTCCATAATCTGTCTACTCAAGGTCTCACAGCTAGGAAGCTGCAGGGCTGGCATACTGTGAAACGCTGCAGCCCATACTCTTGGCCACTAAGTGATAATAATTGACATGACCAAATGCTACTGACAAAATTTAGAGCTCACTTTAGATTAGAACATCACCGAGCAAATTCATCAGCAGTGCACTTCAGTGTTCTATTACACAAATCTGTTAAGCTGGGGAAAGGATTTCTTTGTTAAATAGCTGTTTAAAAGCAGCAAAACAGTATGCTAGTTTTTGAAGATTGAAGAAAACGTTGAAAGTTTGAAAAATTAACTTTCAATATAGAAAAAAGATTCTCTAAGAACAAGCAAGATTTTAAAAGGTATTCTTTTATGTTGATTTCTAATTGGAAATGTTTTACATTTATGCTGACTTTTCAAAAATTCTGAAGTTAGTAAGCATTTTCTTAGAATATTTAGAAAACTACTCAAAGGCATGAAGGAGAGAAACATTCTTAAGATATGCAATTGAGTTAAAATCCTCTCTAACCACTTTCCAACTTGCTACATCATGACAAATACTCATCATTAACCATGAAACGAATGCAATTTTCCTTTCACATTTAATGTTATATTGGAGATATTATACAGTATCTTTCATACTTTCTGGAACTGCACACAAGTAACATTTCGTAGTAGCAGATGTGTGATATCACATGAAAACTTGTAAAACCTTTACATGAAAATCACATCTGTCAGTCTCCACTATTATTTTCACGGTAGTTGTATGGTTTGCTTCTCTGTCTGTGCCAGCAAAGGCAGCTTTGCATGAAAGCTGTCCCAGGAAATTGTGTCTTCTGGGCTAGCTAGTTAAGCAAATTGTATAACTGCCATTGAAACCAAAATGTAACCCAGCAGACATAATTTCACAAAAGAGGAGAGAAAGACACATTTGTACAAAAGTCACAGCTGTTCAACTCTACGTTTTGCACTTTTTTCATTAAAGAAATTTCCCTTTCTTTATGAACAGTGACAGTTACATTTCTAGTTAGCAACTTTAGGACTTTGTAATACATTGCTAAGTGCTGTACTATCAAGGATTTAGTGTCAGGAAAACTAGGGCTAACCTCTTTCTGCGTCTACATTGAGCAGAAATGTGGTCTGTCTGTCCTGTCTTCAGATGAAATAAGGAAAGATGTTGAGTATGGCTCACTGTTCTCTAAAATAAAGACCTGCGTGGCTGTCTCTATAGCTCCAAACGAGGGGCAACGTCCCTACATTGAGACCCACATAGTATAGACTCCTCTTCATTCAGGACTTGCTAGTCTTACTCTTGGGGGCTGTGGTGTCCAGGGCCACTCTCAAGTCATGGGTAATGGAGCTGGTGGCTCAGAATGAGTGAGTTAGAAGCCAGCCTGATGGGGCTGTGCGCAGCACGGCTCCCACTGTCGGAACCCTCCTGTGACACTACTAGAGTGCAGCCAGGGAGGAGATGTTCTCTGGGGACCCCTTATTCTTCTCCAGTGACGAGTCCCAGAAGCTTGGTCAGACCATCATGTGAGGATTATGAACACTACATTTATGGGATGCATTTTGAGGAAGACTTTGGAGCCTGGGCTCTGCAGTCACAGTGCCTGGGCCCATTCCTCTCAATAATGTGTGAAGCTGGGTAAGGTACTCAACTTCTTCAGCCAGAGTTTCCCCATATGTCAACTTAAGACAGTTTACCTCATTACACTCTAGAGAGGATTATAAATGTGCTTAAAGACTGTTGAGCTCTTAGCCCGGTTCATGGCACATACTGAGCCCTCAGTAGATGTTAACTCTTTTGATGACATGATACTTATATGGTTATGATGATAATTTTTCTAAGTTTTAAATATACTAAACCTATAACCTTAAAATTGCATTTGCCCAGGACAGAATTATGGCACAGTAAAGTCACCAATAAATAGTGGTCAAAAATGATTCCATCCAGGTTTTCCAGTTTCAAGTTGTACAGACACTTTCCTGCTATTGACTGCTGAAATCCTACCTGCTTGTCTGAGGCTGGCAGGAATGAGTGTGTGTGCAACTGTGCCAGAGACACAAGGCTGATTTCAACCTGACGTGCCCTGCTGATGATAGAGAGCCCACTCCACAACTTCCTCTCCCAGTTGCTGGTCTGTGTGAAGAGTAACTGACTGCTAAGTTAGACTTCCAGTGTCCCTGCATAGGCTTTTTTGCCACTTGGTAGGAAGGTGGAATGTTTTTCGTATTTTGTAACCAGATCTCTAATTGTGTAATTGGGTATGTAATTAAACACCAAAAATGATAGCTCTACAGAGAACCCACTATGTAATGTAAACATATAATGTTTGCAAGTTGAGATATTTTAATTATTTTCTTCCAAAAGACATTTCTAAGAAATATTGGCATAGAGTTCTACTTAAAATTATCTGGAGGTTTGGATTATCTGTCTCAATTTTTTGATTGGTCTGATACACACACACACCTAACTATTGCTATTGGTATACCTTATGGAATCATGTAATGGGGAAAAAGCCATGACAAATAGTAGAACTGGATGTAGTCTGAAGGAAGTTAAACTATTTGACTCACTATGACCTGTATCTAAGACCTCACAATCACCTGAAAACTAAAACTATTAAATATGTTAGTCTGATCTAATTATATAAGATATAACTGACTAAATTACAAATAATTTTCTTACTATGGTGATGATACATGAAAAATGAAGTGAAGAAATGTAGAAAGAAATGTAATTTAAGCAAAAACAAGTACAAAGCAAACCATGTGAAATGTAATGTAATGAGGACCATTTTCTTTTAGGCTTATAGCTAATGTCCAATTCAATAATTAACTACCAGCAGCAGATCTTTACTTGAAGAACACACGCCTCAATGATCAAGAAGGTAGGAAGCATTGCTTTCGGTCATGTGGGTCTCTCACCTCTGTGACAGTTAGACAGAGAAAGAAGGTTTGACTTAAATACTGTTTCTCACATTGGAAAGCAGTTGAGGACATGGAAGAATAATCTGAAGATTTCGAATAGGGCAAAGGGTCAGGAAACCATGTTCTGCATGCCAAATTTGGCCACCTGCCTGTTTCTGTTAATACAGTTTTACTGGAACATACTACACCCATTCATTTAAGTGTCGCCTATGGTTGCTTTCAAACTACAACAGCAGAGCTGAACAGTTGTGACAGAGGCCATTTGGCCCCCTAAAATATTTGTTATCTGGCTCTTTATGGAGTTTGCCAATATCTCAACTTAGGAGAAGGTTCTTGTTCAATGAATTCTGCAAGAGAGTGTATTAAAGATGAGATCTGGTATGTCACATACCTCCATTCTCTTTCCTTACATGGAAATATCTTGGATTTCAGATGTAATAGGTTTAGGCAAGGGACAGTCTAATTCAACAAATTAAGAGAAGGTAGCACTTATTGAAAATCTTTAATGTTGATAAATTTAACCAGGAGCTGCAGCTACATTATTATTATTAAAATATATGTGTATTTTAATTGATGAGCAATGTAGTAGGAATAGGAGCCTTATAACTATTTACAAGTGATTTCCCTTTATTTTTGCAATTAGTGATACCTCCGTGTACATATCTTAATTTTTGCATCTACTGAGCATCTACATGATGTTAGAGAATTAGATACTATGTTAGAAAATTGCGTTTGGCAAAGGAAGTGAATTGACCTTCACTGGAAATGACTGACTGTGGTGCCAAAATTGGGGCTTTTCCAAATGAAGATGGTGGGTCAAACTATTCAAGACAAGTGTTCATGAAGGAGATGCCCAAGGGCAGGGAGCACACGGTCGTCCTCATCAGCACCTCCCCAGTGCAGAGAAGGGCCTGACACTTCGTAAAAGCTCAGTAACAATTTGAACAATTTACTACAAAAATAAGTTAGCAATAATGCCATTAGTCTGCAATCCTCTACCATCTAGATTATTATTGCTAAACAGAATATGATTGGAGAAAACAGAGTTAGATCTTGATGGGGAGTGAAAACATCTTCAGTTTTTCAGCCTCTGCATTTCTTGGGTATCTGGTTTTGTTATGCACCCAAATAACATTAACAACATGACACGATAGATAAAAAATAAAAATTTCTCTATCAGAAGAGGGGTTCTGGAAAAGTAAGTCACGTATTTAACTTTTGAAAATTATGAATATTATTTGATTTTCCTAAGAAAAAAATGTGTATATGACTGAATCCCTAATAGGGGCTTTATCCTGAATAAAAGGATGCATAGAGGGGTAACTCATATTATGCTAAGATACATACAGTAAGGTAATGAAACCTCCAATAGATAACATAAAAGTCCAATTTACAAAAAAAATACTCTTGATTTAAAATGAGGCCTTAAAGGAGAAAAAAAAAATCTTAATTTTATTTCATCCCTCAACTGGAAAGTATGGTTGCTTCATTTAATTGACTCTGAAATCTGGTTTAATAGAGTATCTCTTTTACACAACTAGTCAGCTCCCAACATTCTGATTGCAAAATGAAGGGCATTTACTTTGATGTCTTTAATTATCACTCATTTAGAGGACAGTGTAAAACACATTTTTCCAACTGGTGTTTTAGAATCATGAGTCAAAGGAAAGGAATGACAAATTAGCCAGCTGGAGAGCAAGAGACAGCTAGCTAGTGCTGCTAGAGTCTTTGTGGGTACTTCAAAGTAAGACGACAAAGGAATAAAGGGACTGTTAGCCACACAAGCTCAATAAATGAAATACTAACACAATTTCACAACACATTAATAACAAGTTAATATCAAACTTAGAGACTTACTCAACATAATAAGTGCCATATATGGGATCATCGATTTTTTCCCAGCCATATGGAAGCTCTGAAAAATAAAGAGTTATTTCTTTCAGTAAGTAACAGATAACACTATTTCTAATAAAAAGTAATATAATTTAATTGTTTGTGGATTGCAGAAATAGTCTACTAAAGTGGAATAAAGCATTCAGAGTCAGCACCAAATTTCAAATGCATATTGTAGGGACTATAAGAAGCACTGACTTGAAAATTGGCACGTAAAACACAGAACTCTCTTCTCTGCAGATGTACTCCTGGGTCTAGCAGTTTATCCCACGCCAAGCAGTAGAATGGCACGTTACCATGTTATCACCACTCAAGGTAATACAGAAGACAAATCGCTTTCCTGAAAGAGCGTACAGTTTTCTCATTTATTTGTATTGTTAAAAGGAGCATTTCAGGATGAAGATCCTATTTTCAAAATATATTTCTGAGAATAGCAAATTGTTTCTGATGACTGAAACAAAGACATTATACATTCTCAATTGACACCCCACTATTCGAGATGGTTAGCTTGCTTTTCTCTCTCCATGGATCAGAATTTGAATATTGCCAATAAACTCTTTGGGTATATTTTTGTATAAAGTCTAAAATTCTAAACACACTTTCCTTGACAATATGGTTCATATTTTCAATTCTCCACAGCAAATTTTAATAAATACACGTTAAAATATCAACAATACAATAAAAGCTACTTTAAGCAAAAACATGTTATTTGAAAACCAGGCTTTGTGTTATGATACTGTTTCCAAATACACTAAGCTTTTATAATTATTAACTCCTATAAATATGAAGAATATTCTAGTTTTCCTCATATACATTAATAATACATATATAACTTGAAATCTAAGTAAGATATATTGACATGCTCTAAGTAATATGTTTAAATGACACTTAAAAGTTTTATTTTTATAAGTGGTAACACATTTTCACCATAGAAAAGCAGTTATAAAAGAAAATTAGAATCACCTGCAATCCTGCCATCCAGAGATAAGTGTGTGTGTGTGTGTGTGTATATATAATTTTTAAAGACACTAGATCATATAGTGCATATTATTTTTACAGCCTAGTATTTCTACCTAACAAAATATCAAGGGCATCTTCACTGTGAATGAGTGTTACTGCAAAACATCACTTTTAAAGTGGACAGCAGTGGTGTGGGGTGTGGCCAGAGCCTGTGTAATCTCACCAATCTTCTATTATTGAACATTTGGGACTTTCCAGTTATATATCATCTGTGTTGGACTTACTAAAGCCTAAATCTTTCATCATTTTCCCAGTAATTTAGTTATGATAAATTCCTAGAGGTAAAATTTCAGGTTAAAGTGCATGTACCCTTTTATGGCTTTTGATAAATGTATATCTATATTTATATCCAAGTTGTTGCCATCCACTCACAAAAGAGAACCAATTTATAACTTCACTGGGAGTTTATGAATTGGCTTTGTTTCTCTGTACCATCAAATTAAATACAGGTCCATAATTCCTCATCCAAAACTTTTTGGGACAGAGAGGTTTTGAAATTCACAATTTTTCTGATTTTAGAAGGATAACACGAGGCAAATGCATTCTGTTCCATAACACCTCAAGCAGAGTCTGAAAAAGCACCTTATAATTAAAGCCATGAGTATTTAAGCAGCCCAAACCATGTGATTCTCACTAAGAGGCACAAAAAAAGGACCACTTCACATCAGTTAGTACTGGTCTGCCAGCATGTCCAGGTCAGGTTACCTTTTGCTGCCAAATGAGTATAAAAGGCAGTTTTTAGAGCTTCTGAATTCTGGATATGCAGATAAAATACTGTATATCATTATTTTAAAAATCAACAAAATTGTTTTTTAAATAGTATCTCATAGTTGTTTTAATTTGCCTTTCTTGGATTTCTAGTTAGTTTCAACATTTTTTATTTGTTCATCCTTGGGCAACTGTTTTTTCTTTTGTACATTTCTTGTTTTTATAAATCCATTCATAAGAGTTTTTTTTTTTACTTGTTAAGAGTATTAGTCCTTTGTTACATATGTTGCATATATGTTTTAAAGAGTTTGTTTAGATTTTAATTTTATTGAACATTTTCTTCAACACAGTTGTTTTAATTTTTGATTGGTAAATTTCTCAATGTTTTCCTTTATGGCTTCTATCATTGGAGCTTAGCCTAAATACTGAAGAAATTTTTCAAGTTTATTTATTTTTTTTAAACTATAAAGTCTAGGCTATGCCTTGGTTTAATAATTTTTGGATTAAGTCATATGTTAGTAAATATACAATACCAAATTGTGAAGCATCTTAAGAAATTTTTCTGTCAAAATGATAATAAGAATATTACTGAGTATTTACTATGGTCCAGGTACTGATGGATTTTCCATGCACTAACTCATTTTATCTATACAACAACTCAGGATTTAAAAACCCTGTACTTTGGTTCCAGAGACCTTAGCCAATTCAGATATCAATTTAGGCACTCTGCTTAATACAGCATAAACAATACTTAATTTAAACTAATGAGAATAACTATCCAGATGATGTTTACCAAATTCCCCAAGCTATTGGAGAATTTGGCTATTAAAAAGAAAAATCCATTTGACAAACATCTGCTGAGTGCCTTTTACAAGTAGCTTAAGTAAAAGAATATACAGAGGACAAGAATTGATATTATGAATATTTATTATTAATATGACTGAATACATGGATTCATATATATAATAGGTTTAATATCACCTGATGAATACAATAATATGTAAAATAATAATATTTAATAATTTTCAGAGTAAAAGCCTAACATGGTTAGTTTTATGAATACTAGTCCTACTTCCTAATGGCACTGCCAAATGGAAGTATTTCATGGTCAAATTTAAAAAAATTATCTTTTACAGTGTAATCTATTCCTTCACTTATTCCTTATCTTTGGCTTTTTTTTTCTGAGTAAATTACTAATGCTAAGCAATGTATCTCCGAAGCATACGGTTCACTGATTCCTTATCTCTGTGGATTTACAGTGCCAAAGGTTCTGGAAACAATTCATTGGCATTCTTTCCCATTTGCCATCATGAAGTGTTCATCAGAATTTAGGGGGAATCTGATTTGCTTTTCATACGATATTAATATAGTTTGTTTGCTTATTTCATATTTCCAAAATAAACTATTAATTCATGCCTAAACAAAATTATATATTATAAATATTTATACTTTAAGATGAACTATTAAGTGGTCCTTGACTCACAATTTGAGACAAAATGATACACTGTAGCTCTAACCTGTTACAAAGAGCTGTCATTCATTTCATTTACAAGGTCTGCAGAGGAGTGATGGATGAATGTTACAAGAAACAAGTAATAGAATACACACACTGGCTCATTTGTAAATATGACAGAATAGGTATAAAAATCTACAACCAATGCTTAAGATGGTGTATGTGTGTGTGTGTGTGTGTGTGAACATATACAGGAATGTGTATGTGTATGTATATATGTTTGTGTGTATGCATGTGCATGTATGTGTGGACATTTGTTTGTGTGTATTCCCATTAACGACATTCTTCCTGAGTGGCAAAGAAAAGCCAAGTCATAAAATAAATTCTTAAGATTAACTGAAGAGTATACATGTATATGATGAAAAATTAAGACAGTTAAGAATCATCTTTCACTGTGAAAAATTAGCTATCTGGACTTCGTTTTTAAAAACCAATTGCTTCTTTTTAAAATTAAGCTAACAAACGAGAAAAAAGAATTTCCAATTTTGTACTATTTGCCCAGCCGAGCCAAGTATGCAGCTTGGAACTCTTGGGTCCTGGGTTATTTAGAATACTGTATTCAATAATACCTGACAAATCTGCAGGTGATTAAGGTCACACTGATGAAAGCATAACCTATACTATGCAACAGAGAAAAATAAACACTTGAGATCAGCAAGGTTAATGCTGTATTAAGAACTGCTGTAACTGAGATTTTCTTCAGGCCATGGAACCATGGGGAAAAATCAGTGATTAGATATTCCTATAGTGATCCACTCTGCAAAAGTCTGTGAAAATGTCTAGGTTAATTTGCAGTCAGTCATATAAGCTTCGTAAAACTTTAATAGAATCAAAAATTAAAGAGGCATCTAGTTCAGCTTGGATTCTGCCACAGCCACCATGCTCTTCTTTTTATTTACTCGCTCTGTCCAATTCTTATTTATTTGTTAGGTCCATTTTTGTTGCAGAAAACTGGGACTCCTTTATTAGCTCAAAAAAACATTTTTCAGGCTACAGCTGGGCAACTTGTAGAATCCAAGGATAGTATTCCTTATGGAAATGGGACCCAAATACTGAAAAGCTATAAGGAACCTAAGATACACTATCTCACTACTTTGATCTCTGAGTTTCCCAATTCTGTACCCAGCCTCCTCCCCTGCATCCACCCTAATTCATTAATCCAGTTCGTTTTCTTCAAAATAGATCCAAGTTACTTAGCCCGGCAGATCACTGTAATGGCTGTCCTCAGGTCAAGAGCCCACTCACATATTAAGCAGGTATGGCTGGGGGCTGTGCCCCATTTTTTGCCACATTTGGCAAACACAAGTGGAGGAACATTCTAGAAAATAACAGGCCAGTACTCTTCAAAAGTGTCAAGGTCATGAAATAGAAAGACTGACTGAGGTATTGTCACAGTGTGTAGAGGAGGCCATGGAGACACGAAGAGTAAATGCAGGGTGGGATCTGGATTAGGTCCTGGACCAGAAAAAGGACATTAGTGAGACAACTGGTAAAAGCCAAATAAGACTTGTAGATTAGTTACTAGTCTACATGAATGTTAATTTCCTGACATCAATAATTGTGCTATGAAAGACGTTAATATTAGGGGAAGTGAGGTGAAAGGTATGTAGAAAACGCTTTGTACTATTTTTGTAATTTTTCTGAAATCTAAAATAATTTCAAAATGAATAAAAAAACTGAAAAAAGCTACTTCACCAACTCTCACTATTGAGTAGATGACTTCTACTCACACTTTATTAATATCCAATCAGATACATATAACACTGAATTAATTTGGATAG